ATTGGGTGAGTAGCATTTGTTGCCCCCACCAAGCCGAACAGCGCCGCTTCAAGCTCTTGAGTCTTTTCATACAATGATGTTATTGGTTCTTCGTGTTGCTTGTTATGAGGAGCTCCTCGTTAGCGCTTTAGAGTGCGTTCATACTTCGCGACAGCGTTCTGAGCGTTTTGGCGAATAGAAAAGTGTAGGTATCAATCCAGCGTACGATACCGTTTTCAGCGACTGCCCGCGAAAAGTTCAAAACCACCCACGAAACGCTCAAGACACTAAATCCATATTGCTTCCATTGTCGCTCTGAAGTGTCGTACGCTCAAAACGCTGACGGAAAGTATGAACATAGCCTTGCTGTTGTTAAGGGGGTTCGTTCATTTCCGATATTTTCAGGTAACAGGTTATGCACGGGCCGTATGTTGTGCTTTCTCCCATTGCCAAGTCTCATCCTTTTGAAGAACGTCGAGTACATGTTGGACCTGATGAGGATCCGTTGAAGATTGGTAGAGCAGTGGCCAGATTGAAGGCTGCGAAAGATAATGCGATATTCGATTGCAAGGTATTTTTCAATCTTTCAGAGGCACGCCTCGCGTTAAAAAAAGCAGCTTGGATTTGGCAGCTCATTTACTAAGGTTAAGGTGCTAAATAACACTTGTGTGAAGAAGAAAGAGCAGAAATACCTGTCCTAAATGCCCCATGTAGAACCCCTTGCCAAACACGTTTGTACATGCATAAGGTGGAAAAGGGTGGTGGTCTCGTGGAGTTTTCACTTATTGGTGCCAGTTCCTTCTCCGTCACCCTCCTGTCTCACCATTCGAAATGGAGGGAGTTAACCGAGTAGCGGAACAACCACACCGCCAGGAAGATTTGAAAAATGAAAACTGGGCGTCGTCGTGGTCAGTGGGCGGAGCAGTGGTTCCGCCCGGGGCAGTAGTTCATCCTTCATGCTCGCGGGCATGACCACCATGCTCAAAAAAGACGCCTGAACATCAAATGAACACGAGGCATGTTTTTAAACCGGTCTTTTCTTCAAAGATTTTCAATTTTTTTTCAGTCATGTTTTATGGTTCCTTAGAAACTTATTTTTATAGGTATTATCACGAAATCATGCGGTGCTGTCGTATCGAAATGGTGGTTTTTTCCTCCGAGATACGAAAAGCAGCAATGGCACATTTGTAAATAATGAAAGATTAGCGGTGACAGGTGAAGAGTCGGAAGCAAGGCAGATCTACACGGGTGACATCATCCAATTCGGCGTGGAAATCGTTGAGAATACCAATAAAGGTACATTCCTGAATGTTTCTATGTTAGCAACTCTGGCACAGTTCGGC